CACGGATAATGAAGGAAGAGAGATATCCATCGCGGGTTTATTAAACAATGAGGAAGTGCAATAAGAATTTGTAAATTGCATCGTCTCGATGTTTCACGATTTGAGAGTCTCTTGCGAAAAATCAATCGGTACAATGTACGGGGAAAACGAGGATCGACCGGAAGTGATAGATCCACGATCCACGGCGCCGATCAGCCCGAGCGCAATTAAACGTTATTCCACGTAGATGCTGACTAAGAAAAAGGAAAGTAGTGAAACGCAATTGGTATTTTGCTATTATGCAGCTTATCGGCTTGTTCTCGAGAACGTTTATTGGCCTTTTGACCTTAGCTTTCACTCGATTAGGTCCTTTTCTTCCTTGTTTCACTGACCGAGCTCACCTACGGTGTCCAGCTTAGGCGAACTCTCGCGTGCACGATCATTCTTATCGATCTACAACGTTAACATTACTCCTATTCTCGTTATTATTGCGCAACGGGCCACGATTGCGCGAGATGCCAATTACCGTCGACTTCATGATTTATTCGACTGCTGTTTTCTTTCTTTTTCATGCAAATCCGTTGTTAACGCTTGAATAATTTTCTTCCAAGTGATAGTACCGACAAACATTGTTCGACTATGTTCATTGAAATAACTGATTTGTTTACAGATAACATTGCTGTCGCTAATGAATTTAATGTCATTTAAAATTATCCCATGATTAAATGGGATAAAGTTGGGATAATTAATCCTAACATTAAATTTATCCCATGATTCTAGGAGGAGCGCCAAATCATTGCCGGCAATCTCAAGCTTTAACTAATTTTTTGTGAAGCAGCTAGACTTAATCTACAGCGTTAACTAATTTCATTGTAAACCGGTTACATGTAGCCTATGGTATGCAGCTGAAAATTTTTGTAAACCAGCTAGATAAGTATTGATCTAGCTCAGTTGCTAATCGACAAATGAAACTTTTATCTTAAGTAAAAATGATAATTATACAACACGAGAATTTTAATATCTTGTGCTGGTAATTATACTTCTTTGCAATCAGTAATTTGCTTTTCGAGTGTGTACTGTTCTCATGAAATGGATTATGAAACGCTAAATATGCATTACAGCGATTAAATAAGATTTTCCTACTTTCACAAATTTGTATTGCTTGTGTGCCATAAAGAACGTTAGATAACATAGCAACGCCTTGAATGCACTTATATATGTACAATGAAAAGCGTAATTTTAAATGCTTTCAATGTTAGCCAGAAGCTGTGATTACTGTCCTGACAGCATTGCTGTCATCGGATAAGTACAGGTCACCGGCGCAATTGTCGCCATTGATTGCTATCTCGATTGTTACTTCAATCATTACGACACCGGTATAATTACGGTTTTCATCGCGGGACAATGTTCCTCACTCTGCCAGTCACTCACTGTGCATTATTCAAACAAAAAGTAACCGTCATTCTGCATGCAACTACACAAACAGAAAATGNCACGGATAATGAAGGAAGAGAGATATCCATCGCGGGTTTATTAAACAATGAGGAAGTGCAATAAGAATTTGTAAATTGCATCGTCTCGATGTTTCACGATTTGAGAGTCTCTTGCGAAAAATCAATCGGTACAATGTACGGGGAAAACGAGGATCGACCGGAAGTGATAGATCCACGATCCACGGCGCCGATCAGCCCGAGCGCAATTAAACGTTATTCCACGTAGATGCTGACTAAGAAAAAGGAAAGTAGTGAAACGCAATTGGTATTTTGCTATTATGCAGCTTATCGGCTTGTTCTCGAGAACGTTTATTGGCCTTTTGACCTTAGCTTTCACTCGATTAGGTCCTTTTCTTCCTTGTTTCACTGACCGAGCTCACCTACGGTGTCCAGCTTAGGCGAACTCTCGCGTGCACGATCATTCTTATCGATCTACAACGTTAACATTACTCCTATTCTCGTTATTATTGCGCAACGGGCCACGATTGCGCGAGATGCCAATTACCGTCGACTTCATGATTTATTCGACTGCTGTTTTCTTTCTTTTTCATGCAAATCCGTTGTTAACGCTTGAATAATTTTCTTCCAAGTGATAGTACCGACAAACATTGTTCGACTATGTTCATTGAAATAACTGATTTGTTTACAGATAACATTGCTGTCGCTAATGAATTTAATGTCATTTAAAATTATCCCATGATTAAATGGGATAAAGTTGGGATAATTAATCCTAACATTAAATTTATCCCATGATTCTAGGAGGAGCGCCAAATCATTGCCGGCAATCTCAAGCTTTAACTAATTTTTTGTGAAGCAGCTAGACTTAATCTACAGCGTTAACTAATTTCATTGTAAACCGGTTACATGTAGCCTATGGTATGCAGCTGAAAATTTTTGTAAACCAGCTAGATAAGTATTGATCTAGCTCAGTTGCTAATCGACAAATGAAACTTTTATCTTAAGTAAAAATGATAATTATACAACACGAGAATTTTAATATCTTGTGCTGGTAATTATACTTCTTTGCAATCAGTAATTTGCTTTTCGAGTGTGTACTGTTCTCATGAAATGGATTATGAAACGCTAAATATGCATTACAGCGATTAAATAAGATTTTCCTACTTTCACAAATTTGTATTGCTTGTGTGCCATAAAGAACGTTAGATAACATAGCAACGCCTTGAATGCACTTATATATGTACAATGAAAAGCGTAATTTTAAATGCTTTCAATGTTAGCCAGAAGCTGTGATTACTGTCCTGACAGCATTGCTGTCATCGGATAAGTACAGGTCACCGGCGCAATTGTCGCCATTGATTGCTATCTCGATTGTTACTTCAATCATTACGACACCGGTATAATTACGGTTTTCATCGCGGGACAATGTTCCTCACTCTGCCAGTCACTCACTGTGCATTATTCAAACAAAAAGTAACCGTCATTCTGCATGCAACTACACAAACAGAAAATGATTAAATAGGACTTTTAAACATATTAAGACAGTCAATTAACATTATTAATCAGTTTAAAATAGATAAATGCATTTTTTTCTTCTTTATGAAGAAAATTTTATTTATTATAACAAATTCGCGAAACTTTTGCTAATCACTTCACAGGGCGAGGTTGCAGGAAAGGAAAATTCGAAAGACATTAAATAAAGTAAATTCTAACAATAAAAATATATATTCAATTCGTCCATTAATAAAATTCGTACCAATCGTACTCTAATGCAAAAATACTTAGGATCTAATGATCATTTCACAAACATGTTTTACAAATTTAAGTAGATTGTCGAAAACGGAATGAATATTTCCTAAAACATATTTGTACGTATCAAGTTACTGCAAAAGTTTTGTTCATAGAGTCTGAGTTACCAAACAGCCAATGACAAGATAAAATAGTGTTGATATTAAAATAAAGATTAACGAACAAAACTGTTTTAGTTCTCAATACTCTACAATCTGGTAAAAGCTAAACTTGGCCAGCACAGATTTTCATAACCGTCCTCAACATATGTTATAAAATCATCGAAAAATGCCCCATACAGGAAAACAGACCTTACATATTAAAAGTAAAAAGAAATATTTTTCTTATAAAAAAGTTTGCTTATAATAAAAAGTATTTTAATTACCTAGCATTTAAGAAGTGAGATAGAGTAACTCAGACTCACGTGGCGACTTGTGAGCAAGTAGTAACAAGTAGCAGTTGTAACAATTTGACCTTGAAATTCAAAATTAAATATCCTGCTTTCCATGTTTAAATAGCACATTGAAAAGTCAGATAGTCGTCACAACTAAGATTTATTTAACTATTATCAAACATTCCTTTCGATAAAAAAAAAACTTCAAATTTCAAAGTCAATACGAGAATGTAAGAACCTTAACTAAGTTGTGTCATTTGGCCACAACTATGTAAAAACAATTCGATTCTTACCGGAAATCCTTCACCAACTATAATCACATTCATTGGCCGAGGATATAACATTTCAGTGACAATGCCATAAATTGTAAACGAAACCGCTATACGATTCAATAAGAACCATAGGCCTTATAGTTTTGTACATACGACATTTGCAATGTAAATATAGAACTGTTTGTTAACAGAACGCTGACATTGGATTCGCTTTAATGATATTCATAATATGTAGTGATAATACACATCGGTGTTATTCCATAAATAGAATATACTTATCATAATAAAAGTTAAGTCGTTAAAAAATATATAGATTTCTTCTTTAAGAATTACGGCTTCGAATTGCAAATGTACCATTGCGCTCACGAAATAATAGGAAAGGTACACGCTAAATTGATTACACTTTATCTATACTATCTCTTTCTATTTTCTATCACATAAGAGATATGGCCGATATCCCCGTCAGGAGAATCCCTTCAACTAGTCTTCAATTACTACATAATAATTATATATTGATATTATTCATGTTTTGAAAATAACTTACTGTGCTAAATATACTTTGTAGAATTGTGCATCTTTGATAATAGACAGACCTGTGCGTTTGTCAGTGTGATTATAATTTAATTTACAAGTGATTAAAAAAGGAATTAAGAGATTTAAGACTCTCTAATTGAAGAACTTATACATATTCACTGTTTTCAATGTTTTGTGGCTTTGAGTACAATGCTCAAACAAAAGTAATATGTTTCACTTACGGGAAATGTACCAGTAACGAGATATGCTATCATGAGGAAACAATGAATGTGATAATAGATTAATAGTTCCTACCTAAATCAAGTGGTTTCACCACATGTAATAAGTTCTAACAATTTCTTCAATTTCGTGTAAAAATAACTTTGTATCTATACTTCAGGTGTGTTAAAGACCGTTCTGAATTATATTGAAGGCAGCGCCGAGGGCCCAACTCAATTCATGTCCAGTTATCTTCTTGTACAGCTGTTATCCGATCAAAAGTGAGTATTAGGTTAACATATAATTGACTAGCATTTTAGATATACATATAAATCATATACACTTACATATAATTTTGTTGTAGGTGCCAAGCCAAACCCGTCACGTAAAAGAACATAAATAAATGTTAAATCAAGGCAAATGAAGGGCTGATCAGTATTTGGATAATCGCAGACGGACTTTGCCATTTCGAGTAGTGCGCTTACTTGAACAACTCCACCAAAAAAGGGGTCCACAAGACCGACCTAAAACATTAGTAACTTGAAACTGTATCTTTTACATTAAACAGTTCATATTTAGTCAGAAACGTAAAGCTGTATCAATGTATTACCTCTGTGGCACGATCAAAGTAATATGAAAATGCATAGATCTCGTGGTCCTTCAAACCTTCTGGTTTATTTTTAATTCCTTTAACATACTTTTCAATGATGTTCAAGCATGCTTGAAAATTAACAATTGGTCTATCTACTTCGCCACCAGCGAAATTTTGATTCTTCACTAACTTGTGTGCTCCACTAATGGGACCTTTGACTAGGTAATTAAGTCCTCCGTAACTCCATTCGGTGGAAACTATTGGATTTACACATTCCGATCGTATTTCTGAGGTTGCTCGCGGATTTACGTTGTCTAAATTTAATCCGTGTGTTATAATCTCTTTTCTAGCAGCCATGAGACCCATGCCCAAATAACTGTGCGTGTATACACTCATGTTATGGTTGAAGATATTAACTGAATATATGTGTCCATCAAGTTTCTTTTCCTGCAGAAGATTAAGAAACAACTTAATACCTTCCTATGCACTTAAGAGTCAATTATTTGTACCTGTGAAGCATCGGGTGAGAATGTAACTTGTGTTGAGCCTCCCCCAAGATCTAATGCAGCAACTGTATTTCCAGGGTTGTGTGTGTTGAACCGTTCCAATAGGAAATTGACGGTAAACCAAGAGAAAATACCTTCATCTGTTCCATCCATTATAGAAACTGAATTTTTAGAAACCTAGAACATATGACAAAAGATAGTAGTACCTCTAAAAGTTCTGTAACAACATTATATTTAGAAATACTGAGTCTTCATACTTGAAAACCAGAATCTTCAAATAGTTTTCTACATTCTTGAAGGATATCGTCAGCTTTGTGTCCAGGAAGAAGTCTCAAACCAGCAGTAGCTCTCATGCTTAGTGCAGTATGCTGCCATTCTGACTGTGGAATAACTGCTTTGACTTTGTCTAGGAGCACAGTGAGAGACTTAGCCGATTCTTTCGGCCTGTCTGCATAAGCACTGATGCCTGGTTTTGTTTGAAAGAAGTGTTCTCCATCTAATATCAAATTGCCGCCAAGAACAGACTCATAAAAACTGAAAGCTAAAGCACGACTGCCAGTAGAACCTGCATCGATAACCACAACATAAAATCTTGATTGGAAACTCAAAGACAAAGCCAATGTATCAATTGCCTTGGTACCGAAACGTGCAGGCTTGAAATCATACCTGTAAACAAAAACAAAGTTCAACAAATCATATATATATATATATATTACAATCATGATTAATGCTAAGAAGTATAAAACAAACAGATCATACGCTATTGCTATGTATCCCAAAAATAAGACTCCCAACACAGTAACAACCATAAAGTATCTTCTGCTTGGATAACTCTTCTTCGTCCGTAACCTTGGCTCTGCATCGTAAATATCATCACTTTCTGATCTTAACTGAAAGTGCATACAATTTATTACAGAATTTATTTATTACAGAATAAAAAAGTTGGAAATATTCTGTACAATTATTTTATAAAAATTAAACTATTTGGTATAGCTTTTTCTTTTTCGTTTTTCATGATTTCTATTAGAACTTCTTAAAAGCTTGTTAAGCTTTTTTAAAGCTTACACGGTTGTGTTTATTGAAGTACTATATTCAAATACATACTTTTTTAAAAAGAAAAATGACTACAAACAATGGAATAAAAATGATTGAAATGATTGAATAACCTCAAAAATATCGCGATCAGAAAAGACGTAAAAGATTAAATAACCTTGACTGCGTTAACAGAATGAATTGCATTTCAGACTCACTGGAATATATTGCATCTAATTTAGAATAGAAATGACTATAGGCAACGATGGCAGTTTTTGTTTGTTCACACGAAGCAACTATTGAAAAAAATAAACACCGACATCACGTATATATATATATATATGTATATGTACCTAATATGAGAAAATCACCAATCTTGCATCACATATAACGGGTGTACAAACATTTCTATATCCTATTTCATTCATAATGTAACTGACGTAACACACATAATAACTGAATGAGTTTTAGTTATATATTTAAAATTATATGTTTCAAACTTATATGTATATACATTTCGATTAGGGTTGATGAAAATTTATAAAATATTTACATCAAGTTTTTATAATAACAAACAAAATCAAACATAGGTTATTTATTATTATGCCTTCTACATCGAAGTATGTATTATAATCATATTATAATACTAAAAACATAAGCGGTGACATTTATTATTAAAATTCTACAATGTAGTAGTATAAATATGTAGTACTAAATATAGATTGTATTGGGTAATCATTTTTTATCGAACTATGCATTATTCCATCATTTTCGTACACTTATGAGAATTTTTATGATTGCTTATAACAATTCAAATGGAGTACGCTACTAAAATAAAAAAAAACTAAAAACTAACCTTCCTGCGTTTAATCTCCATGTTGTTGAAAACTGAACCGTAAAGAAATGAAGAATACGAAAAAGAATAAGCATACTACGAAGCGGCTATTACTAAAATGACTCCTTGCCGCTGTCTATTCATCAGCGAAGCGCCTCTCAACGATGAGTCTTGACATAGAGAAGATTGTTAAGATATCTAATAACAAAATGGCCGCGATAATGACTCAAGGTTTTATGTACAGTTCGCCTCGCAGAATTGTATTAGAATATCACGAAGGTGAACAAAGAATTCGTTGTTATCTGCAGTTGTTTTAGTAGCAGATTGAATTATCTGTTGAACTAACCGGTTACGTCAAGGGAGACTTATCACAATGAGTTCGATTGTAACTAACTGTACTTGTATGCGTTAAAAATTTGATTAACCGAATGTTTTGAATTTCTATTTTTAACTGTTTATGCACTGGATTTCGTTAACACTTCCGAAGATTAGCTTTCATAATAATCTTACTGTATTTCTTCATCTAAGACTAATTGAACGTGTTTCATAATTTTGAAATATACATTAAGAAAATCCAAATAGTCTATGTTTCAAAGATAAGAATAATAGAAAGTATAATTTTCTCTTTAAGTCATTTAACAGCACCCAGTTAATAGATAAAACTTATTAGAAAACATATGATGTTCACTGGACTTTAATAATTTCAGGCTGTCAAATATTTCAAAATAAAA